GAATTTTATCTTGCGTTCAAATTGCAGGTGAACAGACTTGAGTGATACGGAAGGTGCAGTAGAGGAAGCTGACGCAACGGGGGTATGGGGCTTCGGAGCAAACTCGCGCATCATCTTGGCCAAAGTTGTCAAGATAATCACATTGATACGAGATCTTATTAATGCCTCGCTTCTAGTTGAGCCGCCGGTTGCGATGTCATAGTTTGCGAGGATAGAGTCTATACAAGTTAGCATAGAAACAAATTCACATCAATAACCAAACTTACTTAGATGAGGAGGGAGCGAGACCTTTTCCGTCTTTCTGGGAGAAAGTTCGAACTCGGCAGGTGGACAGTGAGTGAGGTTAAAGTGATGAGGAATTTCAATCGGATCCAGGTCGCTAATGGCGATCGTAGACATTTTTTCTTTATTCTTCTTGTTAAAGTTTCTGGGAGTCTTCTTTCGAGAAACAATTTGCTCCATGGCTAGAAAACGTGCGCGGCGAGTTGAAGGAAAAGGGGATGCATAAGATATAAAGAGGGATTAAATCTGACAGTATGCCTTCCGTTACTCTGAAAGGCTTAGTACATCAATACTTTCCATGGTTCTAGAATGTATATAACAAGGTTTGTGAGTCTGGCTTGTATGGATGTCTTTTGGTATGTCTTTTGGTATGTCTTTTCGTATGCCTTTCGTGTGTGCCTTTTCGTGTCTTTCGTATGTCTTGAATGTCATTGTAGATAATTCCCTCCCCCTCTGTTATAGCTATAAAGATACAATCTACTTTCGGGGCGTTTATACATGTGCAGGAATAAGTTCAACAGTCCGATTGTCAACCTTGGAAAGGTTCCAAGGCTCCGTTTCCTAAAAGGGAAAGTACACTGAGTCATATGAAGCACGTTTGCTTCCGAGATCGAAGTTCCATCTCTTCAGTTAGTCAACTTTATCGGCTTGGCTTTTTTCAATGTATTCACTTGCACTCTCGCCTACAATGATTGAAGAAGACTGTGCAATTATCAAGACAACCAAGGGACATCAACGGGTAGTGAAGGCCTTTGGCCTCTCACCTACTAGGTGGTGGAATAAGAGGCAACTCAACGCAAAAAAGACCTGGAGCATCCCAGACCATCTCGGTAAGTTCTAGCTAATTGTCCACATGTTTAATATCTTGCTTGCTAATAACTAATAAGCGTACCTGTGGGACGATCTTGATTTAATCACCGCTCGGGAGAGTGTCGCACATCCGTTGTTCCCAATGAGAATAGAATCACTTCTCCTCGCGCTGCTCGCAGATAAGATCAAGAAAGAGTCACTTCATCCTGACGGGCCCCTAGACTCGCCCCACTGGAGCTTTCGGAAGCGGATGTTCACGCCGGGAATGACAGACGACCAAAGTCTAGCTCCAGTGAATATCATCGACTACGTTTTGTGGTATGGCCACTGCTGGGAGCTCGAAACAAACATGATTGTGATGAAGACTAAGAGTCCGGTGCGTCGGAGCTGGGCTCTACTTCAAAATATGTCGAATATTCACCATTCTCGCAAACTAGCAGGAAGAAACGCAGTTATCTACGGTGTCATGACTGACGGGTTGAAATGGGTGTTCATACATCTAAGTAACACAAGTCGGGTGAGTCCTCGAGGGAAGCTAGGGAAATTTGTTCACTCACACCTTATTTAGTATACAACCAAGGTATTTTCTTGGGATGACGAGCGAGACCGGATCATTGCCCAGACTCAGGATATAATCGATCAGGCAGTCGCTCTTCACAGAAAGATACTATCACGCTCGTCTCTACCTACACCTACTGTTCACCAATCTAGTCGATGTCAACTCAAAGAGATTTCTGCTCCATGCAATGGCTCTGATGATGAGAATGGTCGTTTAATTGAGGAAAATACCTATGAGATGGATATGGGACCCTTGGCTTGGTAAATTACTGGAAATCCAAGTTTGATATGTACGGCGGGCACGTTGGACAATGGGAATGTTTGTATTCTCTGATAGCCAGTGATATCTCTACAGTAACTAAATATCGCAGTTCTTTCCTTTGCTTGCTTGTTTCGCAGTCTCAGAGTTTCTGGTCTACATAGCATATTGTGCCTGAGGCATAAAGTCCATGCAAACGCGTTAAACATACCTGCATTGGTGTCCAATCACATGATGTCCACACCGACAGGCTCTAGGTCAACAGTACGTACTCTTCCTTTCTGCCATGCTCGCTCAACATAGAAACTTCATCTAGATGTCTATCGCAACACTCCCGACGGAGCTTGTATGGAACATCTGTGGCCATCTGGAGCTGCGTGACTGGATTGCGTTTCGAACCACCTGCCTCGGAGTGTACACGAAGTCGCTGGATGCTTTTGCGGACCGATATTGTAAAAGTATCGGCTTGATTCTCACTAGTCACAGTCTTCGTCGATTGGAACAGCTCGCTGCAAATAATTGCTTCCGAACACGAGTTCAAGAGCTATGGGTCGTACCGTCCTTGTTTGGGGGCTTTTATGAGATGGATATTGATTCCTTCGAGTCCTGCACCACTTCACATAGAGACAGGCTGCCTATTGCCCAGATCAATACGCGGCACACTGCATATCAGGCTTTTGTGGCAGATCATCTCAGCATCATCGAATCCGATACTCTTAACAAGGTCCTCAAAGAATGTATGGCACGATTTGAGAACCTTACTGTTATTAGAATGCAACATAACGACTCCGAGTATTTCTGGAACTCAGATTCAATTGCAAAGGATGAGTTCAGGTGTCTCGGTTGGCGCGACGTAAAACGCCAGCTTGGATTCAATCCATTCGGATTGAATATCAGAAAACCCATACACAACCTCTGGAGGAGCAGAGCGAAGGACCACGCTATAGCTTTCTCAGCTCTTCTAGAGGGTGCAGTTGCCTCAAACAGGAAACTCAAGAAATTAGACATATGCAACGATGAACATTGTGCCCTACCCTCTTCGGATATTACACTCAAACTCACACACAAATCCCTGCTCTTATCCCTGGAAGGATTAGAACACCTGCACCTCTGTATCTGTATCTGGGAGGTACATTCGGATGATTCTTCACTCAGATATCTCATCGATATCCCTATAATAGTTGCACCAAGCCTCAAAGTCCTAACATTCTCACAATGGGACCGGAATGGTGTAATGAACCCTCACTATTTTATCGACCTCTCCCAACGCGTCAACTTCACCCAGCTAGTTGAACTCGATCTTTACTGGATCGAAATCACCTATGATACCCTCAAGGCATTTTTACGCACCGCAATGCCGACTTTGAGGTCTCTTGCCCTGCAGTCCTTGAACTTGAGGGGTGTAGCCCCAATGGACACCGATAGTGGCCATCATCTATCAAGATGGGACTCTCCAGAGATGATTGAGGAGAGCAGTGCTGCTTGGCGACAGGTTTGGAATTTCCTCGGAGATGAATCCTTGCTGCGGTCTCTTTCCTTGAAACATCTCGGTTATCGAGGCCATCGTCTGCACTTGCGCGATAATTTGAGCAATCTCAGTGGGTCTTCAGAGCCGAATGGGCCGATAATTGCTATCTTTAATGCTGAGCGTGCTGGTGTTACCTTTAAGGAATGGGTCACTCAGCTACAGACAGGGCCACCACGGGGGCCGCGGATATGGTATGATAGCATGCCAGGGAAAGACTATACCGCACAGATGATTTAATCTGATATTCTCATGAGGAATTGCTACAATACTCACAGATTCAACGCATCCGAACTGTGGGCACAACTTTCACTCAACTCTCAAATATCCCGACATAATCATAAGCCTCGCACGGTCAATCCTTCCAGCAACAAACGCAAACCCTCTCCACCTACCTCAACTAAAAACAACTCCTAAACCTACCTCCTCTCACGAGCTTCACTTGCACCTTGACGAAATCAAAGCTCGTCGAATCAATATCAAACCCCTTCTGCTCTCCAAAAACCCAAAAGCTTCACTTCGCGAGCAACTCCCCGCTAAATTAATAACATCAAACCGGCCCTCTCCACCACCTGGACGTTCAAGTCTACATACTCATCAACCTCACCAGCCGCAATTTTTTCCCCCCAAAATATCCAATTGGCCGCAACAACATGAATACCCGCACACGCAGCAAGCTGCACAAGCAAACCACCAACCCCACCCTCACCAGCAACAACAACAACAACCACACGCTGATCCAACTGATAAGCATGCTGATAATCTTTGTCCTGATGACACTGTGGTTACGACAGCGCACGCCTGCCCGGAAGCGGAAGCGAAAGATCCGCATGCACAAAGAACGCCTCGTACGCCGTCTGCGCGCTGAGCGGCAATTCAATACCATTTCTTCACGCCCAAGACCCGCTGGTCTGTGTGCGACTTCGTCTGTTGTCGCGAGCGCGTATGAGGCCCGTGTTGAGACGCAGTCTGCGGAAGTCATGCCGAAGACGGTTTGAGGGGAATCGATGAACATGGGAATATGTTATTGCTATGCTTGAGAGGTCGTGGTCCTGGAATGTGTAGGGCTGGTGGTATGGGTCGGGCTATGTGAGCATTTCATGGATTATGGCTGTTGCTTTGATGTGGATTAGAAGTTGATTTGGATTTGGGACTGTGAGGGTTAGGATTGGGAATAGGGTGGTCGGGAGGACGGTGCTGGGTGGACTCGGATGGCTTGCGTGTTAGGGGTTTGTCGGGGTAGGGATTTGGGAGAGAACAATTTCAGAGGCAGATTGAATGGATGTCTGGCTTTTATGCCGGAGTTAAGCATGGTTTTACAGATAGGCACTTGCGTGCGGGATACAATAGATCAAGGCATCAGGAGTTCAGTTTTATGCTTCTATGAATAGATTGAATAAGAAATACTAATGGGTTTCATTAACCATCAAGGTAGTCATGGGAGGCATGTCTCGAGAGAAAAGGAAAATATGTGCAAAGCGCAATGCTGGCTGTACAACCTCAAGAAAATGATTCATGTGGACATGTGTATCCTCCCGGTTTCATTTCAGGGAAAAAGAAGAGCGTTTACTCGACCGAGGGCAAATCGGCCGAAAGAGGCAACTTGCGGGATGAGTTACCGACATACACCTTCTTTTGGGCGTCGGAGATTACCCAGTTCTGGGAGTCAACATCCCAGTTAGAGACGTCACGGCGGGTCAGAGTAGTGGTCCACTGGAGGGTCTGGCCAGGGGCAATAGTGACTCTGTCAAACTGACGCAGGACCTTCGACGGCTCATCATCGCCACCAAGGGAAACGTACAACTGGGGAACTTCGTCACCAGTCACGGACCCGGTGTTAGTGATAGTAGCGGTCACCTGGTAGAGGTCTTGAAACAGACCAGGATTGCCACCGGAGTTACCGCTAGCGGGGAGGAGGTCCTGAGGAGAGCCGTCAGTGGCATCCTCTGGAATGTAGTCCTTAGAGTCCATGCCATAGTCAGGGTCGCCGGACGACGCACGCAGGTCGGTCGAGTTCAACCACGGGTAAAGGTACTGGCGGACGCGCTTAATTCCTTCGGGGAACAGATTATCCGAAGCCTTGCCAGCTTCACCGAGAACGGGGGCTTTTTTGGTCTTCCCAGTGGTTGCTTGGTATTTGTTGTATTTAGGCGAGACAAGAGGAATGACCTTCAGGTCGGAGAAGGTAAAGTTGGTATAGCTCAACCCGTAACCGAACTCGTAAATGGGCTCCGTGTTATCCTTGTCAAAGCGGCGATAGTCAATGAAGACACCATCCTCGAAGTCGTCCTGAGGAGCATCCGCACCGTTGTTGGGCACTGTGAGGAGAGGAGGCCCGTAGTCCTTGCGAGCCTTGCCCCAGGTGAATGGAGTCTTACCACCGGGGTTGACACGGCCATACAGTACGTCCACCAGACTGCGGCCGCTCTCTCCTGGCCTGGCAAACCAGCCCAGACAATGGCGGTAATGTTGTCGTTGTCATACCAGTCACTAATCAGAACAGCGGATGTGCTGTGAATCACAACGATGGTGTTGTTGCAGTGTTGACTAGCAGTCTTGATCACCTCTTCGCCATTCTTCCACAGCGTCAGGTTCTTGCGGTCACCTTCGTTGCCATCAACGTTGATGAACCCCTCGCCAGAGTCGGCATTCACGAAAACCAGTGCAACATCAGCCTGAGCAGCCAGGGCGGCCATCTCCTTGAGGGCCCAGCTATCGGTCACAGCGAAGACGTTGGTCTGCCCGTTGCTGTATTCCAGGACTTCATTTTGGATGGCTTGCTCGGGTGTAATCAGATAAGGGAAATTGGCAGTTCCACTACCCCAGCCCATGGCCAAAGTTCCGTTGTCACAGCCACGGTCGTTGCACCCATTGGCGCCATAAGCATTAGAGCCCGCATCCTCTCCCAGAATAGCGATAAACTTCTCGTCATGGGTAAGAGGCAGTGCACGACCCTTGTTTTTGAGCAGGACAGTGCTGTCAGAGCCAATCTTGCGGATGATCTGGGCATGGTCACGCTGGACATTTACGCGCTCGTTGACCTTGCCCCAGCCCTCGCTGACCATAGCATGCTGGAAGTTGTATTCATCGCGTGTCCAGGAGCTGAAGTTGGGAGGGGTTCTGACGCGATCACGTCCAACCTTATAATAAGCAGCCATGATTCGGACAGCCATATCGTCGATGCGCCATTCTGGGACGGTGCCGTTTAGAACGGAGATGGTCAGGTTGGTACCCCAGTAGGAGTAAGGGCTACCCAGGTAGACATCACCGGGCATAGACATATCCAGACCGGCCAGAGCAGACCCAACACCGCTGTGGTGCGCACCCCAATCGCTCATAACAAAGCCCTGGAATCCCAGCTCGCCCTTGAGCAGCTTGTTGAGGGTGTAGCTGTTTCCGCAACCGTAACTGTTGTTGATCTGATTGTAGGAGCACATGACAGAGCCAACACCAGCACGGATGGAGTCCACGAAGGGCCAAAGATACAACTCGTGCATGGTTTTGTCGTCAATATTTGAGCTCAGACTCTGAGAGATGTTGTACCCGTATCCCTGAGCCTCGCCAGACTGACGGAAATGCTCCTGCTCATTTCCAATGAAATGCTTTGCACAAGCAATGACACCAGCATCCTGCATCCCCTTGATGGTTTCGGCCATCATCACACCAGTCAATACAGGGTCCGGCGAGAATCCTTCCCAGTTACGACCGCCCTCGGGGTACTTTCCCAGAGGGCCAGCAACAGGACCCAGCTGCACATCCACGCCCTTGTCGCGGTGCTCTTCTCCCATTGCCGTACCACGCTGGTAGGCAAGTCGCTTATCCCATGTCGCGGCAACATTGACACCAGAAGGGAAACCAGAGTTGTAATCACCTTTTCGAATTTCATTAGTTAAATAAACCAATTGTGTTCGGGGCGGGCAATCTTACTGAAGCGTATACCCAATGGCGAGTCCTGCATGCACATTCCCCACATCCCAAGTCGGGGAATGCTCCCAGTCTCACCAACACATCGCTCTTGCTCCCACCCGGTACCGGTTGTCAAGTTGACTTTCTCGGCCAATGTTAGGTTAGAGACAAATTCGACGGCGCGTATGTATGCATCAGACCACTCGCCCGCACCAGTCATCCATGGAGAGGGATAATATGGAGGAGAATAGGCCAGAGGCTATTTTGACGCGACGTTATTAGCAGTGATATAATTGATCGACTTGAATTGAACTCACATCTGCATTAACCACCGAAGCCGTTAGGCCGGCTACTTGTAGCCACCCGAACTTCATTGCTGTCAAAGTGCTGTGAAAGTGAGAGAAGAACTCACAGAGACAGCATGGAAAGAAATAGAGGTGTGAGGAAGGAACTAGCCACAGGAGAGGGAAATACATGGACCTTAAATGTTCGATTTCTCACAGGGGGAGCTAATATTTGTGCACGTACTCCATATAATATTTACTCCATAAAATGCAATAAATTGAGAAAGTGATCGACATTAAGGTATGCACTATCCTGATCATATTTACATCCTTTCCTATGATTGGCTATGGTTGATACTCACTGGAACTGGACTTTAGAGACACCTTGAAAAGGGGACACAAGGCACAGTATAAATAGTGGCTGGTAAGGGACACAGGGTGAGAAATCAACCCCCTTTCTGTGCTCTGGTCCACAAAGGTCATACCTCGACATAACCCACTCCTTACCTTGGGCCTGAATTCACTATAGATCGGCTATACTTCGGCTCACATTGCTACCTTACAACGCTCGTGCCTCTTCCCCGCTAATTCTAATTCTCCGTTGGATGTAGGTCTTGGATCTTGGACCTTTCAGCGTTCGGCTTCTTACTCCGTATGGGGGTATGTTGGGGTCTGCATACAGACTCACCTGATCTCGAGAGGCGACTTCCATTCTAATCTGGACGGGCCAATTTCTTGATCACCACTTCTCCTACCGAATGGGGAAAGCCTTCTCATCACATCACTCCGAGATGCAAAGACCTGGTCGCCCGTTCCTACAACACTGCACTATGTTGTATATAGCTAATAAAAAAAAAGATTCCATTTACTTTCGATCCAAGAATACGCTGTGTTCTAATAATATTGGGTCTATTTTCCCACACAGATACTATGGGATAAGCCATCCGCAGCTAAGCGTTTTCGTGGAGATCAGTGCGGGGGGAGGGATGCCGACTCTTACGGCTTTTGCGCGATTAATTGTCTACTTGGCCAAGCGCATTCTCCCGTGTTCTTTTCGGAGACTATTCATGTAGTGGAATGGTGCACTTCAAGGTGTTGCATACAAAATACTCCCTTAATACTCCCTTCACCGAGAGAAAGTTCCCCCACACTTGTGCCCCGGCATCGGACCAAACCCCCATATCCCCGGTTTTCTCGGCTTAGACCAAACTGCCAGTACGGAACACGCTGATCCCGGACGGGATGCACCGCCAGGCCATCTTTTCCTATTTTGCGGCTAATCATCGGTGCTAGAACTTAATAATCTTTCGTTTCAGGGCTTCCACCGGCTGGGGATTTGGCAGTCCAAGCAGTTTAGTTTGGGGGATCGGAGCGTTGAAGGCTTGTCCTTTTTGAATAGATTGGATTTAGAGAAGTATTTCTCATCGGTCATTTGTGGTTTGTGATGCAACAGGTAATCTGAGACATCTTGACGTCATTGGAATAGTGGATGCCATTCCTCTTGGTTATACTCTAGCTCGCAGAGCGTCGGACTCGGGACCTGCAATCGGGGATAATGTTGCCATTTCGCCGTCGGGGCGTGGGGTCCGGGGAAATATCCAGGCTTGGTGTGGTGGCCCCACATCTTAGGTGGGATGTCCAGGCACAGAATCGTCCCGCTGGGGCCCTAAGGCCGAGATGCCGTGGTACGGATCAAAGTACTCGTAATTTTCAAGGCTCGCTATTGCAGAAGAGAACAGGGTTGAAAGCGATTCTTGGTAGTAGTGTAGTCCTCGTTCTCATTTCCTCTGTTAAATGTCAAGGCGGCTGGAACTATCAACTATCCCAACCGAATGTGAATGCTAAACCAGTGCCAAAGTCAGACATCACTGCTGATATCGTCTAGCACTTGGAACAGAATGTGATTTTGCACTCTACAGCCTGTGCCATTTGCACCTCCTCGGAATCCAGACCAAATTTTTCGTCGAATCTCATCAACACCAATCCCTTTGGTGTTGTATTGATTGATCATTTCTTCTGCAATAGCACACAGCGTGGAATCAAGCACATCTTCGTCAGAGATCGTCTCTGGAATTTGTCTCTCGGACCGACATCCACACAAAGCCGGGTCTTCTTCTTGTGGAGTTTGCTTTGGTGGCTGATCTGATGGTTGCACCACTGTCGAGGCACATGCCCCACTGACCGCTGTTGGCAGTTCAGTTGTCACAGATCCCTCTTTGTAGACGTGAGGTACTACCATTGACGAATTCGATGTGCGAGTGGATCGACGTGATTGAGACAGAGTACTATTTCCCTCCGCTCGCTGGATAGCAGGGATGGCAACCTTCCGGCTAGTGTTTGCTCCCGTATCCACTTCCTGCAGATACTGCTGGACAGAAGCACTCGAAACTCCCAGTGATCCTAGCAGGTCTCTCAAATGCTTATTTTCAGCCTCGACTTTTTGCGTCGCCAGTCGATGCTCGATATCTTTTTGTTGGGCTTGTTCTTTGCATACTGCAAGACGCTGTTCTAACTCATTCACGTATTCCTGCTTCCGAGCTCGACTCTTGCGCTGGTTCTCACGCACCCGTGCGAGTCGCTCCACATTCTTCTATAGCAGTTAGGGGTCATGTATTGACTGCAACTACTTCAACGGATATGACTGACCTTCTGGTCTTTCGTTGAATCCATCAGTTGCGGACCCAGGGGTACGGGGCATGATCGGGTTCCCTATCAGTCGAGTTTTTCATACAAAGCGCTCATCGGATTGAATGGGAGATGACAAGCGTGGTGGCAGCCAGTTTGACACTGTCTTTGAATTTCGAGTTCGGAGAGAAGATGCATCATTGCTGTCTGACTTTTATGGCTGATATTTGGTGGTCACGTGGACGTAATTTTTCGAGCTGCCAGTAGCAACTACAATTTAGTTCCATACATGGTAAAATGAATGGAATAATTAATATGTTCAGGGGAGAGACTAGTACTCGGGATTCCAGTGGTGCCGAAAGAGGTACGGCTTTGTGTTGCTTTGCTAGTCTCCCCCTCCGACCAAGGCTTCTATAAAGTACTGGACCGCCCAAGGTATAGAGAGCAATGCCATGCTAAAAGCCATTTAGCTATTCAATGTTATCATGGATACTCAATTTACATATCAAGCCAGGAGTTTCTCAATCTGGGTTAACTTAATAGGCGTTTCAGGGCAACAAAAATCATACAGACTGGTGACAGTAGAATGAACAAATGTGATGCATATATTGTGTCTAGCTACCGTTGCCTACTCTCTCCATACAGAGTATCACAAAGAGAAATACTATTTGAGAAGTGACCACATAATTCTTGAGTATTCCTATAGGTAGGTACAAGCCGTTTGCTGAAACCTTGCAGGAACTATGTTCTGGCTAGGTACAGTAGCAGACAGAGTACCTAGGTATAGTACACAGGGAGCATTAATTCATTTAAAGCCCATCCGCCCATCTTGAGGAGAAGTTCACGGATTTATACAATCATTTTTCCAACCAAAGAGAGAGGCAAGCAAATATGTAGCCCTCGGATGCAGCCCGCAAACGATCGCCCTCAACGTCATTGGCCGTCAGTCGTGAGCTATATTCTTTTTCTGCTAATTCGCTCCTACTTTTTTCCCTCTCACAGTAAATATCATTATTGCATTCCACTCTCTCTCTTACTCACATTATCACAAGTTTATCATGATTTCTACGCGACACCATCCTAGCGAATTCCCCTCGCTCGACACCGGGAAAGAGCTGTCCAAGCCACCAGCTACTACCAACGCCAATTCGCGCAAATGGACCCATACACCTGCCGCGGCGCTGACAATCTGGCTCGTCATTTCAGTTCCCTTGGTCATATGGGACACAGGCTATGTATTGTTGCGACCGCATACTATGCCCGGTGGAAGTCTACACTCTCCGATCTGGACACCTTACGCCCTGTACGGAGAGGTTGACTATATCTACGGCTGGCCCGCCTTCAATGCGCGCAATGGCTTTACTGCTGCTCAAACTATCATGAATATTTTCGAGACTATCGGTTATATATCCTACCTCTGGATTGTCTACCACTATGGGTCGACGATTAGAAGAGCCGGGTCGCAAAAGATCACCAAAGGATTCACCTGGTTGCTGAAGGGAGAGAAGGTGGTCGCTGGGCGCATCGGTGCGATCGCGCTCCTGGTCGCTTATACCGCTTCTGTCATGACTCTGAGCAAGACTATCCTTTACTGTAAGCTGCAATATTTGCCTAAGCGTTGTGTATTGGTTTATAACTCGATAAATAGGGCTCAACGAGATCTTCTCCGGCTTCGAGAACATCGGTCACAACGACCCGCTCACTCTCTTCCTCTGTTGGATCCTCCCTAAGTGAGTTCGGCCTATTATATTTCCACACGAAATTCGAAACTAATGTTACTAAGTGGTATGTGGCTCGTGTTCCCTAGCTACAACATCTATATCCTCGGAGGTGAGATTTTGAACTCGCTTGAGCTCGCAACACCGCGCCAGAAGGTTGGACGCCCAAAATCCACATAGGATCTGTCGCGCAAACTAGGGAGTAGATTGCGTACAGAAATTCGACATTTGCAATGACCATAGCGAGTGTGCTTGAGAAAAATTCGGATCACTTCGGCCTATCTTTCGGTAGGTGGCATTTAAAGGTGGCTAGTATAAGAGAAGGGAAAAAAGCATCTTTTTCTGTAATGCACTCGAGATGATCGATGAATATCTTATTGTGTTGGCCATTCAGAGCAAGCATTACTCGGGCAGGTAGCTGTATGCTAGTCCTAGTCTTCTGTCAAGCTTCCGATGTGCCAGCCCAGATGCTAACTCGGCTGTCCTACTGTCATACGCGTTCGGGTCCAGTCCAAGAACGTCAGACATACTGCGAGTATATCCATGAATTTATGATGTGTGATTTTTATCGCACGAGGGCGAGATCGTAGATATATTTCTGGACCTAGAGCTAGTATACGAGAATAGTATAGGAGCTCGGGGGGATATACGGTTGGAGCAAAGACTCCAGGCATGTGAATTCAAATCGATTGCGTACTTTCTTCTGCTTCAAAAGTTTACTCCAAGCTACAAAAGACTTCCCATATACAACATAGGTTATGGTGGAGTCTCCGTAATATGGGCGGCGTCAATGGCTGAATCATTGCCAAGCCATTCGCCGCTGAACCTTTCCCCATATTCGGGGTCCTGCAATTTATTTTCTCTTCAATACAGCCTCTTGTTCGCTCATCTCACTTTCTCGGTATATTCCACTCCAAATATACATCCCCCACGACGAACTCGGCTTCCATCTTGGGAGCAACTTCTTTGTTCCCGCCCGTGCCGAAGGATGCTTCGGGCCTGGGTCCTGGGGTATCTGCACCCGTCATGAACCAACCCGATTCCGACAAATCGCCATCGAAAACCCCTGGTGTCAGCTTTGATCTAGGCCAGGAGGAGGCAGCAGCTCTCGACGACTTCGATACGCAAAGCCATGCCAGCTCCCGTGATCCCGGTAGCGCACAAACAGCGGACCCCGCGCTAGGCCCAGACAACGGGACACTAGACCAACGAGACGACGGCCAGTCCAATCTTGAACCTCTGAACGACGACGATAAACCGGCTTGGAGCGAGATGAAGACCAAGGCTGGAAAGGAGCGGAAGCGCCTGCCGCTGGCATGCATCGCATGCCGCCGCAAGAAAATCCGCTGCTCGGGCGAAAAGCCTGCCTGCAAACATTGTACGCGCTCGAGAATTCCGTGTGTGTATAAAGTAACTACACGGAAGGCGGCGCCGCGCACGGATTATATGGCTATGTTGGACAAGCGACTGAAGAGGATGGAAGATCGCGTAATTAAGACAATACCCAAGGAGGAGACGAGAGATATGGTCTCTATTGGGAGATCGGTTGTCAAGCCTTCCGCCTCGGTCCAGCCGTCAAAATCACAGAAGAAACGAAGCGCGGAAGAGGCATTTGCAGCAGAAATGGAGGAATGGACTCGTGGGGATGTCCGCCCACCACAAGAGACGTTCCCAACGAATCGTGAAACCAAACCCACCGATGGAACTGGCCTTCTCACCGAGGGAGCCGAATTCTTACCATCATTGGAGATACAAGAGCATCTTGCAGAGGTGTTCTTTGATTGTGTCTATGGGCAGTCATATCTCTTATTACACAAACCCAGCTTTATGCGAAGGCTTAAAGCAGGCTCAATTCCCCCTGTCTTAATTCTTGCTGTCTGTGCTGTATCTGCACGATTTTCCACACACCCTCAGCTCAACTCCGATCCGCCATTCTTGCGTGGAGAGAACTGGGCTAATCCCGCTGCGGCCATCGCTCTGAGCCGGCACGACGAACCAAACATTACTATCCTTACGGTCTTTTTACTTCTTGGTCTTCACGAGTTTGGGACCTGTCACGGTGGACGAAGTTGGTCATATGGAGGCCAGGCATTACGAATGGCCTACGCGTTGCAGCTCCATCAGGAACTTGATCAGGATCCAGTACTCAGTCAGAAGAATGGCAACGGCTCACAGCTGAGCTTTACTGATCAAGAAATTCGACGCCGCACCATGTGGGCATGTTTCTTGATGGATCGATATAACTCTTCCGGAAGTCAGCGGCCCCCTATTGGGAATGAAAAATTCTTACAAATACAGCTTCCTATCAAGGAAACTCACTTCCAGATGGAGATACCTGGTCCAACAGAAGATCTTGACGGCGATGTCATTAATCCCGTACTTGAAGATGCGGGCCAGCTATTTAATGCTAAAGAGAACATGGGTGTCTCGGCATACATTATCCGTGCTATCATCATATGGGGGCGCATCGTTGACTACCTGAATCTGGGTGGGAAAAGAAAGGACTCACATCCACTTTGGCATCCACAGTCAGGATACATGCAGCTTAAGCGGCAAATTGAGGAATTCTCTGCGTCTCTTCCGGCACCTTTGACCTTCACCTACGAAAATCTTCAAATCCATGCATCAGAGAAGATTGCAAATCAGTTCATTTTCCTCCACATCATCACACACCAGAACATGCTGTTTCTCAATCAGTTCGCTATTCCCTTGTCTCCAGGGGGCGACCGCCAAGAGATATGCCTAAGTCATTTCTCAGTAATGCAGGCCGAGCCGCAGTGGAGGCTGCGCATCACATATCAGTGCTATTTGATCGAGCTTCGGCCTATCCCCTCACTGTCCCTTTTGCTGGTTACTGCGCTTACTCGGCAAGTACAGTTCACATCTGGGGGATCTTCTCGAAGAACGTACAGCTAGAGGCACGCTCAAAAGAGAACCTCCGGCATACCTATCGCTATCTCAATAAAATGAAAAAGTACTGGGGAATGTTCCATTATATGGTTGAGAGTGCCAAGGATCGGTATCGCCTGTTCGCTGATGCAGCTATAAAGGGCTCTGTGGCAACTGATGGCGCATCGTTGGCACCAATGTTTCAATATGGTGACTGGTTCGACAAATATCCCCATGGAGTGTCAAGAGTACACTGGGAGGGACCCGAAACGCGACACAAAGAAACGGGCGAAGACGCAGTCATGGGCCAGAAACCCGACCTCCAGAGCGTGGAAGATTTCTTTGCCGGCCTTTCCCCCACTCCGCAGCCAGTTCAACCCCGCAAGTCCCGACCTCGCAAGAACAGCAAGCTATCAAATGGAGCACCGGGTATGGACCAGACTTCACCGCAGTCTGTGATGGAAGCCATTATAGGAAACGCCCCCGGTGGCCCAGACAGTGCATTCCCACAGCCATCCATGTTCCAGCAATCCCGGCCAATGCCATTCGGTCAACCACCTTTCGACTTCGGTATCCCACCAGACCAATTACCGCAACTAGATCGGCAATTTGTCTACGGTTCATTTGCTGACTTCGATCCCGCCTCATTCGATCCAAACAATCCTCCTATCCCACCGCTCAACGGCGTCGAAACTCAACCCCCAGATCAAACACTGTTCACTGGCCACATGGACCCAAGCGCCCCTGCGGGAATGGGCGAGTTCTACCAGCCCAGCGCATGGTTCCTGCCCTTTAATCTTGATCCTGTTGGCGGCGGAAACGCACCATCACAAGCTCCGCCCCCGGCTTCCATGCCTGGGGGAAACAATGGTGACGGCACGTCATCTGGGATCCCTTCTGTGGATATGTCGGGCTTTGGGGGTGCCGGAGGCATGTCTTTCTAAGCGCATATGATCTTTCTTGGTTCAAATGGTTCGAATATGAAACCCTCGTAGCTGTGATCGGGTCGGGTATTATTCATCGGCTGCTTTCTCAATGACAGCTACGTGGTGTTTCAGTTTTCTTTACAATTATTGCAGGAGGTTGGAGTCGGGGTTTGGGGGCTGGGTTCTGTTACTTTCGTGCTACTGTTCATATCATAAGCACATTTGTGTTGGTTTCTGTAAATAGTTCGTCTCCTACTTGTATATCCCTTTCTTTCCTGGGTAATTCTGAAGATCACCCATGTGTAATTGATTTTCCATTGCAACCTTGTAGACGATTCTGACCGAGCTTAGCAAAAAAAAAAAACTCCTCGATTGCTCGAACCTTGACCAAGATACTTCAGCAAATCAAATCACCAAAAAAGAAATTGTTGTGCATCATCCGTGAATCGAACACGGGCCTCGTCGATGGCAACGACGAATTCTACCACTAGACCAATGATGCTAGTTGTATGGTTAGGCACACATTGTGGGGACTATATTCGCTTAAAATTTAGATACACAGGCAGCTCGAAGTATGAGATCAGCATTGAGCATAATCCTATCAAGTATCTGTGTAATTGAAGTGGGTGGATATGACTTGAGGTGATTTATGACTTGGTCCTGATTATGCTCGCGTTCAAACCCGCTGTATGTCAATACAAATCAACGCAGATGGCACATGGTACATGGACCATAGTGTGGATATATATCCAGCCAAGGTATGTAAACAGCCACAAAATATGTTCGTGGAAAGACGTTAAAAAAAAAGGTGCAACACAGATAACCACACAAGGAGAATAGCATCAGATTATATTGTTTGAACAATCTGAAAAATAGAAGTGGCCATAGCTGCCACTAGATGGAAGGGATTGTTGAAAAGGTACGGGAAACACAAGTCGCTATAAGACAGGGGAAACCGGAGGAAAGAGAGAATAAATATCAACTAATCATCCCACTCTTCATCCAGTTGATCTATTAGCCTATTCTCGGCATCCACATCACGCCCCTGGCCACGTCCTCCCTGCCCCCCTCGTCCTCCGATGGCGCCAATGAAACCGCCGCGGCCACCGGAGTCCGCGCGAGTGTAACCATTACTCGTGGGGGATCCCTTGCAGCGGAAAAGATTCCCTAGCGAGGAAAAGATGATCACGAACATATCCTGTTGCGCAGAAAGAAAGGAATGGTCAGCGTCATGCTCCAACAATGAGGCTCGCAACCGCAATCGATTTAAGCACATGCAGTCGAACATGTAGTCCATCTAAGGAGGCAAGATAAGTGGTGACTATGCAAAAACTGTCTCGGATCCAGGGATCCCGAAGATGAAATGACAAATCCATTGACAAGGGTCCAAGGAACAGCGCATTGCATAAATCAAAACATCTTGCCAAACATATGAAAGTGTACATGCCGTGACCAAGGCAGGCGGACAAAAACCCAAAGAATCAAATTCAAAGGGAGGCAGTGCAAGAAAGGAATGACCGATGAATGACAAGAACCAAGGAAATGAACCGAAGAGGCCAAACGCAACCGTATTCTCGAAGTGATTCGTCTCCAGACCAGCTAGAGCGAGTTCAATCCATCCTTGAAACAGGTAGTCCTGCCGCATTTGAATCCCGGAACTTATGTGACACGAAGTTGCCATATCTGAATCTGCGACGAGGCCAACATGGGATCAATGCTAGAATACTTACTTTAACAAAGTCGAAAACTCCTGCCCACAGGCTGAAGTTCGGACACTGACGCCAGCCACGTTGATGCATGACCGTTCGCTGGTAGGCGCAGCCACCAATCAGATATACGGCGATGGCGATCAGCATACTAGAACACAGGGTCAGCATGGATTATATTGGGTCTTTTCCCAGTAGATAGAAAAGTGCACTGACATGACACCAAATACGCCGCCGGGTCCTAAGCCCCCCAGCGTTGGGATCCGCGGCGATTCCACCACATGCCGCTGAGCTGCGAACTTCGAAAAAGTACGTGCATTCATCCATGGAGCCCACGAAGGAAGGTGTAGCTACATTTGGCGCAGCGTCGCGGTCACAAAGGAAAGACATGATAGTCGACTTAGTGCGTGTAGAGACATTGGAGCTGCCCATGTTATAGTCCGGACAAGGCGAGCCATTGGTATAATTGAGGACGAGTTTGCGGCCGCGGAAGAAAGGTTCAGATGCTTGTTGCCTGGATATGATGGAAAACCGTTAGCACAATAAGCAGCGAATGAGTCCCAACAAATGCGACTCGTTGGAATGGAATTCTACCATACCCTATGGAATACACTTTATCATCCCGCTCGTAATATGCACTGACGTTCTTCCACCGCGATGACTCTATCCCGACCACGTCCGTCACATTCTCAATCACCGGTGCGCAGATATTGATTGTGAAATTGGCTGGGTAGTCGTGACCCCTGGCAAACCAGCTGCCTTCACGCGCATCTTTCAAGAGTTTCTTGCCATCCTTCATCTCGGGCGGGGATATTGCGATCGCATTCAGATCAAAGTACAATCCAGTGGTCGGGGAGCGGGCAACACATGGTGCGTCATCTTTCAAATGAGTAGAGTATGATGCGTTAGATAGTCCGAGCATTGAGGATAGAAGGAAAATGGAGTAACGAGCGGAGCTGGTGAGCTTCATGGTGGGCTATGTTGGGGTCAATCAAGGCAGTCTAGAAAAAGAAAGTGAAGGAGAGACTATAGAGAAAGAAAGATATCTGCAAGATGATAGAAATGACATGGATGATGAAAGGTGTATAAGAGTAGTGTTCAGGTACCTAGGCACTGGTTGAGGCTTACGTAGCATCGCAGCTGTGATTATGCGGAGCAAATCTGCGGACATCCACTATCCGACGTCGTACGCGATCTAAGGCTTCAGGGTCTTATTTAGGGATCTTTCCTCCCCCAAATTCCCGGATTCTTTCTCTATCCATCGAATCCTTCATAATGTCTACCAGAAAGGAGTCTAAAAAGTTACCTGTGCAGCCAGTGCCAGAGAAACGCGGTTATGAGTTTGGTGGACCGTATGTTTTTCACTCCTTCAATCAATCTAAGCTGAGCTGACATTTGCAATAGACTAGGTGCTTTTGGTATCATCTTTGGATTGCCGACCCTGATTTACCTCTTTACCTTTGTCTGCAACGATATCTCCGGTTGTCCCGCGCCGTCGCTGTTGAACCCCTCGACTTTGTCGCTTGAGAAATTGAAGCATGAAGTGGGTTGGCCTGAGGAGGGAATTTCGGCGCTTTATGATACCAATGTTACACTGTGGACCCTGAGCTACTATGCCTTCAGCCTGTTCTTGCAGGTCTTCCTTCCCGGTCAGGAGGCAGACGGTGTTGTGTTGGCTTGCGGAGGACGGCTGAGATACAAATTCAATGGTATGGCAATGGCTGTCTTTTCTCGCACATCGCATTCAAACAAGATCCTTTTTTCTGACTTGGTTCATTTTATAGCATTCTCTTCTGCCATTATTATCCTCTCGGGCCTCGCCGGAGGCACTTACCTCTATGGAGCCGATTTTGTGGTGTGGACATTCCTATGGGACAACTATGTTCAGGTCATTACAGCAAACTTGTTGATCGCTTCTTTTGCTGCACTGTTCGTCTACGCGAAGAGCTTCACAGTTCCAGCTCCTGGGCAGGCAAACTCAAGCCTACGAGAGCTAGCACCTGGGGGCCACACGGGCAACATGCTCTACGACTTCTTCATCGGCCGTGAACTCAACCCTCGTGTTCGCCTGCCCATTCCGTTTGTCAGCGAGGCATCACGCACCCTTGACATCAAGGTGTTTATGGAGATGAGACCAGGCTTGCTTGGATGGACAATTCTAAACTTGTCCAATGTGGCCCACCAGTACCGAACCTATGGCTATATCACTGACTCGATTGTGCTGGTCACTATCTTCCAGGCATTTTACATCCTCGATGCGCTGTACATGGAGCCAGCGATTATGACCACCATGGATGTAATCATGGATGGATTCGGATTCATGTTGTCTTTCGGCGACGTGGTTTGGGTGCCCCATTTATACAGCATCCAGAGCCGGTATCTCTCTGTCTTCCCCTACGAGCTTGGATTGACCGGTATGGCCGTTGTTCTGGGTGTCACGGCCGTTGGATATTCGATCTTCCGCGGCGCCAACAACCAGAAGAACCGTTTCCGCACGAACCCCAATGACCCCCGCGTGAAGCACATCAAGTACATCGAAACTGCTGCTGGATCTAAATTAATGATCTCCGGCTGGTGGGGTCTGGCACGTCATATCAACTACCTGGGTGACTGGACTATGTCGTGGGCATACTGCCTGCCGACTGGTGTTGCGGGATATGTTCTCATCGAGAGCATCAACCCAGCTAGTGGCGCTGTCCAGAAGCAAGCTGTGCAGACCCCGGAAATCCGTGGCTGGGGTATGATCTTTACATACTTCTACATGCTCTACTTTGGTATCTTGTTGATCCACCGTGAGATGCGTGATGAAGAGAAGTGCGAGAAGAAGTATGGTGCTGACTGGAAGCGCTATACTTCCATCGTCCGCAGCCGCATTATCCCTGGGATTTACTGAGTGATCCCAAAAACTCATTTTACGGGCCCACGGATTCTGGCTTTTGTACATTAATTCTCACTATTTCGGCGAAAACTATTATGATAGGCTTGCATTCTTTGGATTACAATCTTCCAAAGTTGTCGCAGGATAATTTGACAAAAAAGATAGAAAAATATTTTACCAAGAGGCGATTATTAAATATCATTATCTACATCCAAGTTTCGCCCATGCCATTCATTGCGTCACGTACTGAACACCAAGAGGTTTGAATCCTATCAGATTCGAACTATTTCTCGTGGATTCCATGACAGTATCCATCAAGCGGAGAAGCTATGGGAATAATTATTCAAGTTGATGGCAAGAGTGAATCGCAAGTTCGGAATTAATATGATGACCTAACAAATACAAGATGTGAACCTTTCCATTGGTCTTTAATC